CCCCTCCCAGAGTTTGGGAGAGAACCCAGGAGTTCTGATTCAGTTCTTCTTTCCCCAGGGACTAGTTGGTTTGGCACCAGGGCTCAGCCCCCACCCCCTCAAATGCAGGAGACCCCAGGGAACAAACACTGAGGGGAGGGGCCAGCGTTCTCACCCCCCATCCAGTCCCCCCGACTCACCATGGTTTCCTGGGCCTGCAGCAGCGTGGCCACGGGGTCTGTGCAGCAGCGGGGGGCGGGGGGCAGGCGGGCGGGGGGCCGGCCCGTGTAGAAGGCACACTCGTCGTCCAGGCAGGCCTCCTGGAAGCGCTGGGGGGCGCTGAGCAGGTCCCCGAGCCGCTGCTTCACCAGGGCCACGCGGGACGGGGGGGTGGTGGGGGCAGCCCTGGCCCCTGCAGGAGAGAGTGAGCGTGAGCCGCCCGGGGGCCTGGAGCCCACAGTCCTTCCTGTCCCGTGCCCCCCGTCCGGCCAGCCACAGGGGCTGCAGCAATGAGTTGGAGCCAGCGCCCCATTGGCCAGGTAGCCGGCAGACCGGGGGGGCCAAAGAGGCTCTGGTTCCCCCATGGGGCACTGGAGCCGTGTCCTACCTGCAGCGCCCCCGCTGGCGGCGGGGGACCTCAGGGAGCGGATGAGGGGGTGGGAGCAGACGGGTCGCTGGGAGGAGAAGGTCAGGGTGGTGCCCGCAGCAGGGAAGGCAGCAGAGCTGGCCGGGGGAGTCGTCCCGCTGGCAGGGCCCAGCTCAGGCCCCTGGCCCGAAGAGGGGGAGGGGAGTCGCTCCAGCCCCACACCGGCTGCTGGCAGGGGAGGGGGCGTGCGGGGGGGCCCGGGCGACGGGGCGCAGGCAGCCAGCAGGTTCTGGAGCTCTTCCAGGCTGGAGGAGCCACCTGCCCCCTCCACCTCCTTCCGCAGGAGCCGGGCCAGAAACTCGATGCGCTGCCGGGGGGAGGGAGAGAGAGAGTCAGAACAGGACCCCCAGCCCAGCCCAGCCTCATCACCCCACTCTGGCCAGGCTGCTCCCCGGGAGACTGGGGGCCCCCCCCCGGGGGGGGGGGGGGGGGGGGGGGCTGGCAGGAAGGAGCCAGGCCCCCCCTTACCTGCGCCTTGCTGCTCCCCTCGCCGGGCCGCGCGAGCACTTTCCTCACCGACGCTTCCGCGGCTGCCTGGCTCTCCCCATCTCCAAAGAGAC